CGGGGGGGCCGGGGGGGGGGCACGAGACTGTCGAGAATCACCGCAAACTTTTACTTCACCGACCCCGCCAACCCTTCACCGGTAAATTACCGGTATACCGGTAACGTACATCCCTCTGTTCAAGTTGTTTCTTGCTCTGAACAATGCCGGTTGCCCGCTATAATGCCGGTTCGACGTGGCTGGAACCTACCAGATGCTCGAACGGGCTGACACCTACCGGCATTATAGCAGGACCACTGCCGGTCGCCCCGGTGGTCCAGTTGATAACCTCGGTACCTTCTAGAGGTCAGGTCAGGGGTCCGAATCCCGGCGTAAACGAGCTTTTCTTGCAAAGTGAGTTTTTCTCTCGCTTTCGCTCCTGGCCTAGTGGATAGCCCTAGTTCGTGTGTACCAAGAGGGAAGAGAGTGCTGCACTTTTCTCGTATAAAAAATCGAAGGCAAAGTACCAGGGGAGGGTGGCGTAGAGAGGGGGCCTTCTGTGTGACCACGGGTTGGAGTAAACGGCACAAGCGCTGTGAGCGCTGATTTAAAGTGTTCAAAAAGAACAAACTCGAAACCATAGGTTAGTTGTAAGACGGTGTAGTTGGGGGTTAGGTAGGTTGATGGACGGAGAGCAGAAGAATTGTGCGTATGTAAAATAGTCGCTCTCTTCTTCGACAGTCCAGTCACTCTTCAACCAGGCGGTAGGATGGCGTGCTTCGGTTGGGGTGGTTGACTCGAGAAACGGAGAGCATACGTGTGTCATGTTGATTTGAAACAAAAGACAGAAAACGAATGCGGTTTCCATTTTAGGTGTAGGGTTAGCAAGCAGTGCGTGTATGGAGGATTAATAGACTTGCACTAGGTTGTGTGATGTGTGGAACGCAGTCGTCCTCCATATCTTTGTGTACGTCCGCGCCACTCACCTCAAGTTATATGCTTATTTACGAAGTATATTCTTCTCTATTGATAGCATTCCATGTGTTGGGGAGGACAAAATAATGAATATCATCGCTCGCCGTTGTCAGTCTCAAGTAGGATCATCTCACTCTCACCCT